AAACTGTAAAACAATGAGTTACCAATGTTAGTAGTGGGCTTAAATTCATGCAGTCGGGGCAGCAAAAAGGAGAGAATTATATATATGTACAAAATGTGCCACTAAGACGCATGGGGTTACAGGTGAGGGATGGGGAAAAGGACGCTCTTCTTCTGTCTTAACATTAAACTTAGCTAGTCACAAGCACTGACCCAAATATACCACAATATTCCTAACCCCAAAACAACGCATGTTTATTTACCATTCTTATTTCAGTCACCATAATACCTCTTGTCTCTAGTCCTAACTAGTCCCCATATGTACAATGCATTGTTTGTGAGGGAAAGGGGAATAAAACAAATATTTAAAATCTAACCCCAATGCGTATTTGCAATATGAAAGCAAAAACTATTTACAAGAAACCAAACAAAAAATGTTAGTAATACCCCCCCAATCCTTAAACATCTGTTAACTGAACGAAATCAATGCGAGACTCTAATAATGTAAAACATTCATACATTCCAAACACTCACTCACCCCCACCTCATTCAAACGCAACAGCAAATACAAAAAACGACACACGAGAGTAAAAAGAAGTGCGATATTTATTTCCGCTTCAAATACAGAAAATCTGGCACAAGGCCAAAAATGGGGAAAGAACGGTCTTCTGTCTTAGCTTTAAACTTAGCTAGCAACAGGCACTGACCCAAACATAACACAATATTCTTAAGACCGAAACAACGTATTCTTACTTTCCTTTCTTACTACATTCACCATAATACCTCATTGTCTCTATGAAATTCCCTAACTAGTCCCTAGATGTACAATTCATCCGAGAGCTCACCCGAACAATTACCCTGAAAGTATTTATAGAAAAGGTAGACTGTTCTAGTTCCACGTGCCATGTTTAATGGATGTCAGTTATTAGTTATCTCCTGTTAATTTCCCTCTGAAAGTTCTCCACTGCCTTAACCGGGTATTGAACACCCACTCTTTGGGTCCTGTCACTGGATCTAACTAACACCTTTATCCACTGTGTCATGTGTCCTTGAGGACATCTGTGTATGAATTTCTGGGTATTATAAACCTAATAATAATTGTCTTCAGCAACCATTTTTACCAGTGCTCATATTGCAATTTTTTCTGTGGTGGTGGGCGGGGATAAAAGAACAATTTAAAATCTAACCCCAATGAGTATTTACAATAATAAAACAAACACTATTTACAAGAAACCAAACAAAAAATTTAAGTAATAACCCCTACCCGAATCCTTAAATATGGCAGAAACATCAGTTAATTGGACGAAATCAATGCGGGACTCTAATACTATAAAACATTCATACATTCCAATCCCTCACTAAAAGTACCAGAGCAAAGAGCGATATTTATTCTGATATGTACAGAAATGTGGCACAAGGCCAAAGGGAGGAAATGGGGAAAAGGACGGGCTTCTTTTTTAACATTAAACTTAGTTAGCCACAAACACTGACCCAAATGTACAACAATATTCCTTACACCAAAACGACGCATTCTTACTTACCTTTCTTACTGCATCCACCATAATACCTCATTGTCTCTATGAAAATCCTAACTAGTCCCCTTATGTACATTTCATTGTCTGTGGTGGTGGTGGGGAAATAAAAGAATAATTTAAAAACTAGCCCCACCCCCATTGTGTTTTTACAATATGAAATCAAAACTATTTACAAGAAACCAAACAAAATAATGTTAGTAATAACCCCCCCCCTTAAATGTGGCAGAAACATCAGTTAACTGGACGAAATCAGTGCGAGACTCTAATAATATAAACCATTCACACATTCCAAACACTCACTCAAACACACACTCATTCAAACACAACAGCAAATACGAAAATCACACCCGAAAGCAAGAAGGGTAGCAATATTTATTTCCGCTTCAAATACAGAAAATCTGGCATAAGGCCAAAATGGGGAATGGGGGAAAAGGACGGTCTTCTTCTGTCTAAACGTTAAACTTAGCTAGCCACAAACACTGACCCAAACATACAAACAATATTCCTAAAACCAAAACAACGTACTCTTACTTACCTTTCTTACTACATTCACCATAATACCTCATTGTCTCTATGAAAGTCCTAACTAGTCCCCATTATGTACGATTCATTGACTGTTGGGGGGAATAAAACAACAATTTAAAATCTAGCCCCTATGAGTATTTACGATATGTATACGAAACTATTTACAAGAAACTAAACATAATGTTAATAAGACCCCCCCACTTGCACGCACAATCCTTAAATGTGGCAGAAATATCAGTTAACTGGATGAAATCAATGCTGAACTCTAATACTATAAAACATTCAATCATTCCAAGCACTCACTCGAACGTACACTGATTCAGATACAGCCACAAATACGAAAATCCCACCAGAAAGCAAGAAAGAGAGCAATATTTATTCTATTATGTACACAGAAATGTGGCACTAGGCCGAAGGGAAGATTGGAGAAAGGACGGTCTTCTTCTCTCTTAACTATAACTTAGCTAGCTGCAAACACTAACCCAATCGTACGAACAATATTCCTTACACCAAAACAACACATTCATACGTACCTTTCTTACTACCATCACCATTATATCTCATTGTCTCTATGATAATACTAACTAGTCCCCATATTTACAATTCATTGTCTGTGGGGGAGGGGGGAATAAAACAACAATTCAAAAAAACTACCCCCAATGAGTATTTACAATATGAAAACAAAACTATTTACAAGAAACTAAACAAATAATGTGAGTAAGACCCCCACTTTTCCAACTTACACGCACAATCCTTAAATGTGGCAGAATCATCAGTTAACTGTGTGAAATCAATGTTGGACTCTAATACTATAACATATTCTGTTGTGCTGTAGAGGTTAGCACTAATCAGCCGCTAAACTCGTCTTACTGCTTCGTTATTCTCAGTGACTACTTATATGAGTGTTCACTTGCGGTTATGCAAATTATGCATACTAATTTGCTAGTATCACTACATCTTCCTGAAACTTAAGGGTTTTATTCCTCTCGTAGATCTTGTACTCCTGCTCATGTTATTTTCATCACTTTGCTCTACTTCTCTCTCTCCCGTATTTCTTTCCCTGGGAGACCTAGATCTGTCCCGCGGTAGGCTGTAGTCATATGTGTTTTCTTGCATTATCTGGTCTTCGTCCCAACTTTCAGACTCATTATGGCATCGGTGTAGATATTTTATAATTGGTTCGTCAATTTCTTGTTTCATCGACATGAATTTCGTTCTTTCTGCCACTACCAGCCTTTTCTTGGGTCTCATATTTCTTCTTATAATCTGACTTATTTTTTCGAAAGTCAGGTCTTCCAAATTTGAGGGATATGCCATGGTGGAGATTTTCATTATCGCCTCGCATCCAGCTGTAGCCAAAAATAAATCCGTGATTTCATTTTCGCCTCCCTTTTCCTTGTTGTCTTTCAACTTTTTTGTTCTCGCAGTGGCAGAGAAACAACGAATCTCTATATCCACGAAATCTGGATCTTCCAGAGACAATTGATATCCTATCGGCGACGCCATTGTTGTGCTGTAGAGGTTAGCACTAATCAGCCGCTAAACTAGTCTTACTGCTTCGTTATTCTCTGTGACCACTTATGCGTGTTCACTTGTGCTTATGCAAAATAATGCATACTAATTTGCTAGTATCACTACATATTCAATCATTCCCAATCACACACTCAAGCATAGACTCATTCAGATACAACGACAAATACGAAAATCCCACCAGAAAGCAAAAACGGGAGCTCCTCAAGGAAATTGCCATTAAAACATTTACAGTAACGACAGATGTAAGCTACATCATGGATGGGGAAAAGTGACTCAAGTCGAGATGCCAGGTCAGGACCGATAACATTACAGACTCAGACTTCTTTGTCAAGAATCTGGAGATAAAGAACAGGAAAACAAAACCAGATGTGACAGCACGTCTCAAGGCAGAGACAAACGGCAGATTTATAAACAGGCAAGATGGATTCTGGCGCAAAAAGATCGTCTGACATCTTTCTGTCTCCATGAGAGGAAAGGAAATGTCGAACACGGTAGAGAAGAGCTTTTGAATTTCAGTCAATCTATTCAGATCTCTAAGTCTTTTAAGAAATTTGCTTTTCAGAAAGAGTGTTTGTTTTCTTTTTTTTCTCTTTTATTGTTGCAAGCCCTAACCAAGGTCAGTATTTCCATCCGAGCTAGCTTTCAATTCTGAGTGTTGTTTGTGCCTATACAATAGCGATTGACAGCATTGCTAGCAGTGGGAACTGCGAAGCTTCGAGATGATCATTGTTTCTCATAGAATTAATTCAAAGAGAAATGGAAAATCGCCAAGTAATTTTTTTCCTGTTGAAGTATCTATATTTTAATGTCATAACGACTTGTATTTTTTTTTTTTTTTAATTTTATCGGCCTCTGCGTTTAGAGAGAAAGAGGATTTAAGATTATTTGACTGAAACATTTATATTATAAACAGATGAGAAAATAAAGGAATTAAAGAAATAACTGAAAAATATATGGAGGTAGGGAAGAAGAAGAAGAAAAAGAAAAAGAAGAGAAAAATATATGGAGTTAGAGAAGAAGAAGAAGAAGAAGAAGAAGAGAAAAATATATGGAGGTATAGAAGAAGAAGAAAAAGAACAAGAACAAGAAGAGAAAAATATATGGAGGTAGAGAAGAAGAAGAAGAAGAAGAAGATTAGGTTGTACGAGAAAAATAAGTAAGGGAGGAGGAGAAAAAGAATAAAGAGTAAAAAAGGAACAAAAGAAAAGGCTAAAAAGAATCAACGAGAGGAGAAATACTACTACTGCTACTAATAATGATACAAATACTAATACTAGTACTACTAATAACAATGGAAGACGAAGAAGAGAATGTCTCGTTGTACAAGAAAAGGGAGGAGGGGAAGAGGAGGAGAGGAATAAAGAGTAAAAAAAGAAGGAAAAGTAAAGGCTAACAGGAATCAATAAAAGGATAGATACTACTAATGCTACTACAAATAATAATAATAATAATAATAATAATAATAATCATAGAAGAAGAAGAAAAAGGATGAAATGAAAGCAATAATATATATGTTAATAGACATCAAAAGAAGTGAAAAAGAAGAAATAGAAGTAAAGGAGGAAGAAAAGAAGAAATAGAAAGGAAGCATAATATTAATTTTACTATCATTATTATCAGTACTAGTAGGAGGAGGAGGAGTAACGACAAAAGCAAGAAGAAGAAAAAGAAGAAGAAAACGAAGCACGAGAAAAAGAAATGGGAGGGGGAGAGCAAGACTAAAGAGTAGAAAATGAAGGAAAAAACAGACTGACAACAAATAGTACGGGGAGAAAATAATAATAATAATAATAATAATAATAATAATCGTAGTAAAATGTTTGGGGAGGGTAGAGCAAAAGAACCTATATTTATGAAAAAGATATTTATGAAAAAAATAAGAGTAAATCGGTAAATGATTCTGTAAGAAAGAAAAAATGGGAATGAGAATGAGATGGAGAAAAAATAAAGTAAGAAAAAAGAAAGAAAGAGGTATAAAGAATTTAACAAGTTGGGAGGAGATGGAAAACGGGTGAAAAATCAAGTATGGTGAAAGAAAGAAAGAAAGAAAGAAAGAAAGAAAGAAAGAAAGAAAGAAAGAAAGAAAGAAAGAAAGAAACTAACAAACAAACAAGCAAGATGCAAAGAAAGAAAGAAGCCAATAAAGTAATACAAAAAGCACGCATAAAGAAAGAAAGAAAGAAAGAAAGAAAGAAAGAAAGAAAGAAACATATAAGAAGAGAATAACGAAAAAGAAAAAAGAAAGAATTTAAATAAGTACCAAGAGCTGAAATATAAAATAAAAGGAGGATAGTAACAAAAAGAAAGAAAGAAACTAATAAACAAAGATACAAAGAAATAAAGAAGTCAATAGAGTAATAAAAAAGTAAACATGGAGAGAGAGAAAGAAAGAAAGAAACAAACAAAGACGCAAAGAAAAAAAGAAGCCAATAAAGTAATGCAAAAAGCAAACATGGAGAAAGAAAGAAAAAAAGAAAGAAAGAAAGAAGGAAAGAAACAAACATATAAGAAGAGAATATAGAAAAAGAAAGAAAGAAAGAATTTAAATTATAAACCAAGAACTGAAATATAAAATAAAGTAAAAGCAAGATAGTAACAAAAAGAAAGAAAGAAAGAAAGAAAGAAAGAAAGAAAGAAAAGAAAGAAAATGGCCCAAACTCCAAGGAAATAATTGAAGAACTTCTGAATGACTAAGAATGAAAAGTGTTTAAATCAAAGAACAAAATGGCGAACAATATCAAAATAGCCATGGAAGGAAATTACGAGAGAGGAAGAACGAATGGAAACGAAATAGCAAAAAGAAGGAAACGAAAAAGATCAAAAGAGAGAAAAATGAACGCATTTCAGTGTCACGTGGTTCGTTAGAAGAATTAACTTTTAATGATAGATTATATGAGGACGGCTATAAACAAAAACAAATTTGTGGCAAAATTCGTTTTTGATGATGACAGAATGGAGCGTACAAACGTAAAAGATAAATCAATGACCCGACACGACGAAGAAGAAAAGAAAAGAAAAACAAAAACTGTCGGGCAAACAAATAATACAAATACGCAGTTGCCCACGCATGCGCACAAGGAAATAAACGCTTGCTCACAGGAAATATAAACTTGAACGCGTGTCTCATTTTCTCATAAAATCCCGCATACCCTCGCTCAGATAAAGTTATGTGTCTTTCTAGTGCGGCGTCTCTACATAACGCAATGGTTAGACATGCATTTCTTCTTCTTCTTCTTCTTCTTCTTCTTCTTCTTCTTCTTCTTCTTCTCCCTTCCGTTCTTCTTCTTCTTCTTCTTCTTCTTCTTCTTCTTCCTTCCGTTCTTCTTCTTCTTCTTCTTCTTCTTCTTCAGTTTGTAGGCGATCATGGCTCTCCACAATTCCACGTCCTTCGTAGCTCTTAATAAATTCTGTTTTTTTTTTTTTTTTTCGTTTTTTTTTGTTATGTCTCCTAAACCTTATTCCGCCATCACTTTTACTCAAACTCGTTTTTTCTCCTTCTTTTATATGCCATGTCTCATCAGGATGTTGGTGGTCATGGCTCTCCACAATTTCCCGTCATTGTTAGCGCCTGATAAAAGTTATCTTTTTGTTATTTCTCCTAAACTTTGTCCCGCCATCCATTTACTCAATCTCGTTCTTCTATATGCCGTTTCCCTTCAGGATGTAGACGATCATGGCTCTCCACAATTTCCTATTTCTTGCGCCGCCATCCATTTACACAAGCTCTCTAGGTAGGTTATGCGTAGTCTCCCTCAGTTCGTCTGTTCTTTAACCTGTTCTGAGATCATCATTACAGAGAAATTGGCCATGGTTAAATTTTATTGTCAGAAATGCTCAACAAACAGAACTGACAATGTTTGCAATACCCAATAAGAAAAGAAAAGAACGGGGTAAAAATAATGTTAAACAAGTCAACAATACACGCATGTCAAAGAATTATTAATAAGGCAAAGCAAAAGCAATAAGTCAAAAGTTTTAAAAAGAAATGCCGTTAACACACGAAAGGGAATACAGAAAAACGATCTCAGCATTCTGGCTTCAAGACAAGAAAGAATAAAACTGAGATAAGACCAAGATAATTCTCTACCAATTTTCCAAGAAATAGTACACAAGTTAAACCTTTCCTAAACAGAAACTATGGTTTAGAGTTGGAATCAATTCATCGATGGTATATACCCTGAGTCCATCATAAAAATTCAGGGTGTGGAGTTAGTAAAAACTAAACACTACAAATAGTTCAGCATATGGATTTATGATAACAAATATAGTAGAAGAGAAAAGGAAATTGAACATAGTATAGGCTGCGCCCGATATAGTTTCGCCCAATACCACACATTGCTACAAAACCAAAAGTTCAACCTGAAAACTCAAGTCATGTTCTCAAATAGCTTCGTCAAACGAAACTTTGATACCGATGTCATGCATGGCGTCAAACCTGTTCAGAAATATCTAAACTGTCAGTTGTATATCTCAGATCAATGGCGAAAAAAGACATTGAGAGGGTGCAGCCGAGGGTCATGGCAAAGATCGTTCTTCTTTGAATATTATGGACTGTCGTTACAGAATCACAAACAACTATTTAATTTGATTTGTGCTAATATTTTAGTTCGTTATTGGGTTCATCTCCCACCCCTCTCATTTTTTCATCATAGAATTTTGTATATATCTTTTAATATCATTAATTATTTATAACACGGGGCGCGTTTTGTAGGCCTCCCTCGAGTGAATGTGGTATTATGGTGTATGGAGGATTGATTGGTGACGGACAAGTTCTTATAGTGAATGGGTAAATTGTAATGTATGAATGGGTCGTGAATCAGATTAGCTAGGTATAGGATAGTTAGTGAAGACCAGTCGTTACCTCTCCCCTTTTTCGGCCTTGTACCACAATTTTGTATTTTTACAAAATAAATAAAAACAACTGTACCTAATAACAAAAATCACCTCACTTGAGGACTTCCAATAGCAGCAACAACTAAAATGGATGGCACATGTAACTCGAAGAGAAAATAATAACAATCAAGGTGTTGATATTCCTGACTTCTTGTAATGGGTGGAATAACAGCCTTGACCTTTTTTTTATCCTTTTCCCAAACACTCCTCTTTACTCTTACTCTCACTCTCGGTGACCCTTTGCGTGTTGGTGGCACTCCTGCCTTGCTTGGGGCGATTTCCTTAAAAACAAAAATGTTCCCTAGGCTTCAGTGGCCGTACTTCAGATAGAAATGTAACCCTGAATTCTAAACTATGGAGAAAGCTACCGGAAACTACTCCACTATCTTTCCGAGTAACACATATATCGAAACTTTGGCTGTCCATTCACTGTAACAGGCCTAAAATCCTCCACCTAAACAGCAGCTTCTTTCTGAATTCGGAAGAGTAAGTTGAGAGGTTTGAAAGTGATTATCATCATTAACCGGCTGTGGTTTTAGGATGGCTGCGCAGTTGAAAACCTGACTAGTCCCCTCCACATATATATAGCGAGAGATTAAAAACTGGAAATGGTATTCCTTCATGCGTAGTGTGTCTTGGATGAGTAGACCTGACGGAGTCCACCACGCTCCAGGTCAAACTATAGCCGATGTCCTCCAACATGAAGCCACGCCGTAGTAAGGAACAGTTGACCGTTGCTATCGCCCTGGCTGTTCACCTCAGTCTAGGGATCTACCCACCTGGTGATAACATGTCAACACCTTACTGGATATACTCCTACTCCTGCTGTATAAATCTGCACAGATTGTATTGAAATAAAAGTGGTTTTAATATCGGAAAATGGACGTTTTCTATTTCGAGTAACAAAATATGGCACAGGTATTTGAGCGATTGTTATCTTGGTCAAACAATAAGCATTATTCAGTGATGTAGTCAGGGTTGTTTTATCATTGTTAACAATGTGAACAGACCCGAAGCATCGACTTTATTTTGGGAGACACATCTTAGTTGTTATCTTATTAATTTCAGTTATTTTCCTTGTCTGAAGTTCGTTTGAAAGTATGGGTTGCATTATTTTTCGACTTTTAGGCCTGTTAATAATTACCACATATATATATATATATTCAAAGAAATAATCACGCATAGAATCAATCAGAAATATTAATGCGATTATTGGCGACATCCATCGCTAGTAGTATAATGTATGCATTAAAATACTGTTAATCCATAGAGTGAAGTGATCCTCGCATATAAAATTGATGTCTGTTGTTTTCAGTTTATGTGTTCTTAAAATGCTAGTACTTACGAATAGTCTTCTATTCATCTTCAGGCATGTGTTGTTTTTTTCCTTATAAAATCAAAAACTTGAAGATGAAATAATTGTTTGTCGACCGAAAGATGTTTTTTGAATATCTGCTATTATTGACGGTTGTGTAAGATCTCGGAACGTGCAAAGACGCAACGCTAAGTTTTTCAAAATTTTAACTGAGAATTTTATTTAAATATTTCTTGTGATTTATTAAATCCACGTATTCTATTTTTACAAGTGTATTCAGTTAATATGTCATGAACTAAGCATATAGTTCAATAATATAGTGTAATGTCATAGTAGTAGTTTTTTTTTACAGGAATTTTCATGTACTGCGGATCGATAGATTTTATAAACATAAAATATTAGGCAGCATATAATTTACATTCAAAGAAATAATCACGCATAGAATCAATCAGAAATATTAATGCGATTATTGGCGACATCCATCGCTAGTAGTATAATGTATGCATTAAAATATTGTTAATCCATAGAGTGAAGTGATCCTCGCATATAAAATTGATGTCTGTTGTTTTCAGTTTAAATATAGTCATCCACAGACAGATCGTTTCGCTGTATCTCAGCTCATCAGTGTGACTAGACATCCGATCACTTCCAGTCGGGACCGAAACCTGGCCGACCTGGCCTCAGTCGGAGATTATAACCCCCAGGCTATCGACGCCCAGCAATTTTTGTGTATTTATTTTTTCATAAACATGCACGGGACTTAGAAGACTCAATCCGTTGAGAGATTCTTGCCTTATTAGCAGTAATAGTCACTGTATACAAATTCGCACAGTGCTCGATTGAATTAATTTTTTTTTCCGGGAGCTAATATCGTATATATATATATATATATATATATATATATATATATATATATATATATATATATATATATATCGGCTGTGTGTGTGTGTTTGAAAAATATAATTTTAATGTGTGCTATATTAATAGATTAAAACACAAATATTATCGATGTAGCGTATGTAAATATAAATATGGACATTGATGTCAACACACAGCGGTGACCGTCAGTTTCATGCTTAAACGCAATCCTCAGGCCTAACGATTGCGTTTAAGCATGAAATGGAGTGTCGCTACCAGGTGTTGACTTCAATGTACACTTTCAGATATATATATATATATATATATATATATATATATATATATATATATATCTGTGTGTGTGTGTGTGTGTGTGTCTGTGTGTGCATATATATATGTTGCAGTACTCTTCGATAAAACGATTCGAGTTCTCTAAGTTATTGTCGTTTTTATCCAAAAATAAATACGCTTAAATTCACCTTCATCCCCGCCATGTGCCAATGGTTTGGGGGTAGATTCTTCGACTGACGCCAATTCAGCTGGCTTCCGATCATAGCTAGGGAAAACCGGACGTTTAGCCACACTGATGAGTTGTGATACAGCTAAGCAGTCTGTCTGTAAATAACTCTCTCTCTCTCTCTTCCTATATATATATATATATTTATGAGATGAGTTATTATGTATACTATTTACATTATTCTGATTATTGTTCTCATCTTTGTCGCCATATTTATTACTCGCCGGCCTTCTTCAGGTGGTTGGAATGTCGAACTGAACCCTTTATTTCGCTCACTGGGGTAGAATGTTCGATTTGCCATGTCAGTTATCAGTTATCTCCTGTTAATTCCCCTCTCCAAATTCTCCACTGCTTTAACCGGGTATTGAACTCACACTCTCCGGGTCCTGTCACTGGATCTAACTAACGCCTTTATCCACTGTTCCATGTGTCCTTGAGTTTACCCCAGTGAGCGAAATAAAGGGTTCGGTTCGACATTCCAACCACCTGAAGAAAGCCGGAACGTAAAATGGCCGAAACGTTGTAATAAATATGGTGACAA